CACACCTCCCCTCCTCCTCGCAGCACTGCTCAGCACAGCGCAGCTCAGCTCAGCTCAGCTCAGCACGGCACAGCGCAGCACAGCTCAGCTCAGCTCAATTCAAAACAGCACAGCACAGCGCAGCACCCCACACCAGGGCCGTCCAGGCATAGCAGGCGTGGCATTTTCTCGGCACCAGAGGGGGTGCGCAGGGGGTGGTCCCCCTATGCGCGCCAGGGTCGTCCAGGCATAGCAGGCGTGGCATTTTCTCGGCACCGGAGGGGGTGCGCAGGGGGTGGTCCCCCTATGCGCGCCAGGGTCGTCCAGGCACAGCAGGCGTGGCATTTTCTCGACACCAGAGGGGGTGCGAAGGGGAGTGGTCGTGCGTCCCCTCCCTATTGCGCGCCAGGGTCGTCCAGGCATAGCAGGCGTTGCATTTTCTCGACACCAGAGGGGGTGCGCAGGGGGTGGTCTCCCAATGCGTGCTGGGGCCGTCCAGGCATAGCAGGCGTGGCAGTTTCTCGACACCAGAGAGGTGCGCAGGGGGTGGTCTCCCCATGCGCGCCAGGGCCGTCCAGGCATAGCAGGCGTTGCATTTTCTCGGCACCAGAGGGGGTGCGCAGGGGGCGGTCTCCCTATGCGCGCCAGGGTCGTCCAGGCATTGCAGGCGTTGCATTTTCTCGACACCAGAGGGGGTGCGCAGGGGGTGGTCTCCCTATGCGCGCCAGGGTCGTCCAGGCATAGCAGGCGTGGCATTTTCCCGACACCAAAGGGGGTGCGCAGGGGGTGGTCTCCCTATGCGCGCCAGGGTCGTCCAGGCATAGCAGGCGTTGCATTTTCTCGACACCAGAGGGAGTGCGCAGGCGGTGGTCTCCCTATGCGTGCCAGGTATAGTCCAGGACATTAGCAGGCGTCGCAGTTTTATCGAACCAGAGGGGTGCTTTAGGGGGTGGTTTTCCTATTGCGCGCCAGGGTCGTCCAGGCATAGCAGGCGTGGCATTTTCTCTGCACCAGAGGGGGTGCGCAGAGGGTGGTCCCCCTATGCGTGCCAGGGCCGTCCAGGCATAGCAGGCGTGGCATTTTCTCGACACCAGACGGGGCGTGCAGGAGCGCATGGGGTGGTCTTCCACCACATGCGCGCCAGGGTCGTCCAGGCATAGCAGGCGTGGCATTTTCTCTGCACCAGAGGGGGTGCGCAGTGGGTGGTCCCCCTATGCGTGCCAGGGCCGTCCAGGCATAGCAGGCGTGGCATTTTCTCGACACCAGAGGGGTGCGCAGGGGGTGGTCTCCCCATGCGCGCCAGGGTCGTCCAGGCATAGCAGGCGTGGCATTTTCTCGACACCAGAGGGGGCGCGCAGGGGGTGGTCTCCCTATGCGCGCCAGGGTCGTCCAGGCATAGCAGGCGTGGCATTTTCTCGACACCAGAGGGCGCAGGGGTGGCCTCCCTATGCGTGCAAGGGTCGTCCAGGCATAGCAGGCGTGGCAGTTTCTCGACACCAGAGGGGGTGCGCAGGGGGTGGTCTCCCTATGCGTGCCAGGGTCGTCCAGGCATAGCAGGCGTGGCATTTTCTCGACACCAGAGGGGGTGCGCAGGGGGTGGTCTCCCTATGCGTGCCAGGGTCGTCCAGGCATTGCAGGCGTGGCATTTTCTCGACACCAGAGGGGGTGCGCAGGGGGTGGTCTCCCTATGCGTGCCAGGGTCGTCCAGGCATTGCAGGCGTGGCATTTTCTCGACACCAGAGGGGGTGCGGGGGGTGGTCTCCCTATGCGTGCCAGGGTCGTCCAGGCATTGCAGGCGTGGCATTTTCTCGACACCAGAGGGGGTGCGCAGGGGGTGGTCTCCCTATGCGTGCCAGGGTCGTCCAGGCATTGCAGGCGTGGCATTTTCTCGACACCAGAGGGGGTGCGCAGGGGGTGGTCTCCCTATGCGTGCCAGGGTCGTCCAGGCATAGCCTCTAGTGCGGGATTGCGTATTACCTCTCGTATCCAAGTGCCAGGCGACGCCGGATATACCGTCACAGATGACTCCTCAACCCCTCTCTCCCCCCACAACGCCCCCCCCCCCCCCCCCCCCCCCCCCCCCTTCTTTTCAACGACCACAGGGGGCACCTGAGAGCGTGGTAGTGGTTGCGCGGTCCACACGAGACATACAATCAGTATGTGGGGTTCCTCGGTAGCGTAATTTAATGTTTTCTGTGCCTGGGCGGCCGCGGCAGCGATGGCGACGAGCCTCGGCCCGCGGCCTGGGGCTTCTCTTCGGCCTCTCGGTCCCCTCCCCGCCAGACCCCGCGCGCCGCGATCCGCGCGGGGGGGGCGCGCTGTGATGGGCGAGGGCGGCGAGGGGCCCAAGGGCCCAAGGAGTCTGGGTGGCCCGCGTGCGTCGCCGCGGCTTGCTGCCGTTGCCAGTGATTTGTTGGTTTGCCGTGTTGGTCTGGTTGTCCGTGCTGGTCTGGGCTAGTTTGATATGCAGTGCTGGTCTGCCTTGCTGGTCTGCTCTGCCGCGCGGTCGGTTGGCTGGCTGGTTGGCAGCCTTAGGTATTCTTAGGCTGGGCCTCTAGGCGCGGGCTGTTGGTCGGTTGGATATGCCCAACCAACGCGGCTGAGGGGTGAGGGCGGGCACGCGTGTTTCTAACCGCCAGCAATGATGACTCAAGTCGCCCGAGCGGCCCCCATCCATGTTGTTCGTCGCTTTCGCGGCACTCCATGTCGTCCACATCCGCCCAACGGCACCAGTGACGTCGCACATGGCGGCGAAGAGATCCAAGGAGAAGGTTGCGTCCAGAGCACCGCCGCCGGCGCCAATGATTTCCTCGGCTGCCAGCGCCTTCGGCGATGCCGCGAGCCATCGCGGCGGCGGGGGCGCCGCCTCAGCCTCTGCAGGGGCGCGTGTTGGTCGTGGTCGGGCCCCTGGTCGGACGGGGCCACGCCGCGCTGGTGGTTCGACGGCCGAGCTTCCCAGCCCCACCAAGCGGCGCCGCGCGAAGGGCATCTGCGATTGCTGCCGCGTGGACGCGCAGGACCGCGCCAGGATTATGTCGCTTGTGTTGTTGCGTTGTTCCACACGTTGATTTCGAGCCCGCGGGGGCGCCCAGCAAGTCGGGGGATCGCCAGGGGCGTTCCGCGGAGGAAGGGGGTGCAATGAGGCGGCCGCCCAGGCCAGTGCCAGAGTCTGGGCCTGGTGCGAAGTGGCCCCCCCTCGCCCTCGCCCCCCTCCCCCCCCCATCGGGCCTCCAATGCCTAGGGGTCCAAGGTGCCCCCGCGCCCCCGAGGTATCTCTGGCATCTTTGGGGGGGGGGGGGGGGGCATGTCTCGGAAGTGCACTCGCGCGTTTTCCAAGACCTCGGGGCCCCGACACCACCCAGGTCCAAGGACCTGGCTCGTTCCTTCTCCCCCTGCCGTCGCTGCTGCAGCCCCCCCCCCCTCCCCGCCCCCCCGCTGCAGCCTCGCCCCCCTCCTCCCCGCCCCCCCCCCCCCCCCCCCATCCCCGCCACTCCCCGCCCCCCCATCCAGGGCTCGCGGGCCGCCGCCGCCGCCGCTGCCGCCGCCGCCGCCGCCGCCGCTGAGCGCGGCTCGGACGACCTTGGGCGGAGTGGGACCGCGCGCATGCAGTTTGGGGTTTGGCGCGGGGGGCAGGCGAACTGAGATGGGTCGGTCGCTGGCGCAGCCCCTCGGGGCTTCCGGAGGCCATTCGCACGCGCGCAGGTTCACCATAGCCGCACTGGGGCTCAACAAGGACACGCAGGGCCCGCCCCGCCCGATGCAGGAAGGGCCCAGCCCACAACATGCACCCATGCAGACCCACATTGCGGCGCATGGCATATTGTGCGCAATGCATTTGATAGACCAACTGGCGCACAATGACATGAGGGGGAGCACGGTGGAGCGCATGCACACATCTGCATATACGCCCATGCAGAGAGAACGAGAGAACGAGAGTTAACGCAACCAACGGGTAGAACATGAGGGACCCGATGTGCACGTGTGCGCGTTTATACTCACGCACCTTTGGGTACAGCGACTGAGACGCCACAAAAGGTAGGGTGGGCACATATGCATAGGAGAGGGGGGAATCCATACACATATATGCATATATAAATATATGTAAATATATAGGGGGGGGGGGGGGCTAGAGAGAGAGAGAGAGAGAGAGAGAGAGAGAGAGAGAGAGAGAGAGAGAGAGAGAGAGAAGAGAGAGAGAGAGAGAGAGGAGAGAGAGAGAGAGAGAGAGAGCACCAAACACGAGCTGGAGTGATACCTGCAATGCCACAGGGCACCAGCATGGCAGACATCAGCGCCTGTACGATGTGCGGGAATTTCTGGCAGCATCACCTACGATGGATGGAGTGGTCGAGCTTTTGCGACCTGAAGGATTCGGACCCCGATAATTTCGGCACGCAGGTCGACGACGCCATGGCGAAACATCAGATATCGCCGCCAGTTGGGCACGACCGAGCCTCAGTCAGCCAAACGATCGAGACAGGGTTCGAAGTGATGCAGGAGTTCAGGGCGGTGCCTTCCGCGCAGATGGAGTTCTTGGGTAAGAAGGAGGTCGCCGCGCTCCCGTCTGTGGGCGTGCCTCTTCATGGCGGGCCGGTCGTCGCCTTGTATCTCTTCCAAGACGACTCGCCGAATGTGCCCGGGGGCTACCGAGGCCGCCGCTTTACCAGGGTCTTTGGCGGCCGCGCTAAATACACGGTGACTCCGCAAGGCCAGCAGTTGAGAGACCAGTCGGAATTAGCTTTTCAAGCAAGTGTCGGCGGACCAGATGGCGGGGGGGGCCCTCTTGCCATCGATCAACGGCCGTGTCGTATATTGGGGCTCGCTTCCTTGTCTGAACGACTACTTCGAGGCCGAGGACGATCCGCCCGCTTCCGCGGGCGGGGGGGCCAGCACAAGGAGCACATGGGCCCCGTTCACCAGCGCCCGCCGCAACGCCATCGCACCACGGGGCGTCGCCACGGGGCGATGCCCCATCAACGCCCGTCGGACCTCCAGGGCAGCCCCCCCCCCCCCCCAGCAAGGCACCGTCTGCCATGGATGGTTGTTCTTGCGCGGGTGACTTTGTTGAGCTGGCCGATGACGCGTCGGAGAACTTGGGCGAGGTCCCCGCCGAAGTGGAGGACGCGTGCGAGCACTGGATCAACACGGCCCCATTGGACAAGATCACGAGAGGCGCCAAGAAGGGGCGCGCTATACGGCAAGGGGGTGACCTCGCAGTGAAGCGCACGAACCTCAGTGGCCACGAGGCCACCACCGTGTCGAACCTCGCCCTGCACGTCAGGCGCGCGAACCGAGCAAAGCTATTGGCGCCTGGGAAGAAAGGGATCGAGCAGCCGAGCGATACGGACCTCCAGGACATAGTGGGCGAGTTGGTCGGTATGGGCTTGGGGCTGCCCATTCACGTGAAGACGCAGTTGTTGTTCCGCTTTGTTAAAAAGCTGAAAGAGGACACGTGCAAGCCGACCGCAGAGGACTGGTGCGCCAAGACGTTGGCGACCGTGGTGCCGTGGAGGCGCGGCGGCGCACTGGCGTTCGACCTGTCGAACCCGAAGGTGAGCGACCTTGGCGCAAGCGATGCAGGCCCCATCCGATCTTTCAGGAGGACGCTCGTCAACGACATCCTCGCGCCTATGATCATGCAGGGCAAGTCGCACGCCCCTCTGGTGGAGGATGTTGCCAGGTATTGCGCCATGGCTTTGGAACAAAACGCGGACTACGACATGTCAGAGGAGTTACAGAATGAGTATTTTGGCGTGCTCACTTGCACGAGGGGGCTCTCGGTGATCTCGAACTCCAAGGTGCTCTTCGGCGACGTGTCCGCCATCGTCGACGCCAGTGCCCTCGAGAATGCATCTGCGAATACAGCCTCGAGGGAAGCGTCGGCTCGGGCTGGCGTTGCACTGGTTGGGGGCCAGTGGTGGAATGAGCGCCTGACAACCTTCCTCCATTACGAGAAGACTATGATGCAGTCTCAAGGTCTGGTCGAGAGTTGTTTGCAGCTGGCCAAATCAACTGAGAGGGTGTCTACGCAGATGGCCACAACAATCACTACCAACTTTCGGCAAATGGATTTTCTTAAGACTGGCCTTATTCCTGAGAAGTTCACGTTCGTCGGTGAGAAGCTCCAGGCCTTCGTGCAGAAACTTGCTGACCAAGAGCTTGATGCAGTGAAGGCTTCCAACCCAACCGATGCGGGGTCGCTCCAAGAGTCTGTGAGCGGCATGGCGTGGACGTCCAAGATCTTGCCGGAGGCGATCATCGCGTGGCCAATCGAGAACGGATTCCAACATCGAATGTCGGTGGTATCAGCGAAGTTGGCGTCGGTGACTGGCATGCAGCGTTTGGCTTCTTTCGAAAGCAGAGCCTTGGCGGCGGCCAGCCTCGACACTAGCCAGATTTCGGATCTCTCCAACAAGGTGATGATCGAGCCCAAGGAGGGGGGTGGCGTCGTGGCTGCGATCAACACGTTGCCGCCAGACAACGGAGCCATCGACCGCATCAAGGATATTTCCCGCTGCGCGCGCGTGGCCCTCCTCGGCGAGGGCGACTTCCCGAAGTTGAGCGAAAAGTTAAGCACTGCATCTCTTTGATCTCCGACCTCGTTGGGATGCTCCCGGGCGACTAGGCCGAGGACCTTCACGCGCTGAACAAGATCGTCGGGGCCAGGTGCAGCATGAAGTTCTTGACGAAGCAGTGCACTGACCTCGGCGCAGAAGCGCCCGACAGGTTCGCTGCTGCGAAACCAGATTGCATGTGCGTCGCCAAGCTGCAGGGCGCGATCCAAACCTACAGCGGCCTCGTGGAGAGGATCGGCGGCGAGAGGGTGCCAAGGGGGCGCAGCGACGACAACGCTGCGGCGGCAGGTTGCGCGGAGGCGCTGAAGGAGCTCAAGTCGGCAGGTGCAGAGGCAGAGCATGCAGGGTTCCAGCTTGAGCTCACTACTGCCAATGCCATCGAGGGTGGCTTGCGCGGCGGCGGGAAGTGGAGCGACGGGCGCGCAGCAGATGCGTTCGAGGAGTTCATGAAGCAGGCGGTGTCCGCGTGGTCGTCCGCGGACAAGGTCGGCGCCGAGGAGCTCCACCAGGGCCTCGTTGATTTCGAGAAGGCCCGGCAAGTGAGGAGGATGAGAACAGGGGCGGGGTCGAAGCGGATGCGGAGCAGCAGGAGGGGGGGGGGGGGGGCAAGCAACGGCCTCAGCTGCAGGACCATGAGATAGATGGGGAGGGGGAGGGCGCGGCGGAAGCTGGGGGGGACGAGGAGGGGGGAAGGTGAATGCGGGGGAGGGCGAGGGGGGATGTCGGGGTGGAGGGGGGATAAGAGTAAGTGGGTGGGGGGATGAGGGGGGGCGGGCGCGGAGGGCAAGGGCGACGGGGGGAGACGGAGGGTGGTGGGTAGGATGATACGGCGGATGAGGATAAATGCAAGGAGAGGGGCCAGGGGGAAGCAGGTGGAGGATTTGGGGGGGGGGGGGGGGGGGGGGGGGGCGAGGGTGATGCGACGGAGGCGGGGTGGGGATGAAGGAGCAGCCGTGCGATGAATTGGGATGATGATATGGGTGATGGCGCTGATGATGATGGGGATGAGGAGAAGGAGACGGCGAATAAGGGAGAGGAGGATGCGGTGGAGAGAGATGGGTGGATGAAGAGACAGACGTTGGACGGGGGATGAGGCGGAAGAGAACGCTGAGGAGGGGGAGGTGCCCGAGGGAAGCGAGCATGAGAAAAGGTGGTGAGGAGGAGGGCGAGGACGAGGATGAGGATGATGATGGCGGGGGGAACGGGGGCGATGAGACCTCTGCGGGTAGCGGCGCCAGGCCATCGACCGCCGCAGAGAGGAGGCGGACAGATACGGGTTCTCGCGGGACGAGGATGCAGTCAAGCAGGCGTCGAGCACCTTGATGCAGATGAATGCGACCGAGATCGAGGGTGTGCTCACGCACCTTTTCAACTCGACGCCCAGCGAGGACAAGCTCATGCTGCGCACGAAGTGCCAGGCCCAGAACAGGAATATCAAGAACGAGAAGGGCGCGGAGAGGGCTGCGCAGCTGACCGCGCTCGTCCACGCCAAGCTGGCCAAGCGCATGAAGGATGCGCTGGTGTTCGAGTAGGAGATGGGAGGCCGCGAGCCTCGCGGCCTCGCGGCCCGCAGCTGCGCGACGTTGCGCGCTGTGGCCGCGCAGCACAATGATCGGATGGCGGCTGGGAGGTGTGGCGGGGGGATTGAGCGAGGATTGCAACATGTGGCGAGGCAGGGCGGGGGATTGCGATCAGGTCGAAGCTGCCCAGATGCCACCTTGCAGGAGTCCGTGCACGCAGGCGGTGTGTCCTTAACTATGCCCCCCCCCCCCCCCCCCCCCCCCCCCCGAGTAGTACTTTTAATCGCGCCTCTTGGGGACTTGGGGCCACCTTGCATGAGTCCGTGCACGCAGGTGGGGCGTCCTTAACTATGCCTTCCCCCCCCCAGTAGTGCCCTTAAACGCGCCACATGGGGTCCCGCGTCTCGTGGTTCCGCGCACCCCTCCCTCCGTCCACATTGTGTTCTCATCGCCGCGGGCCCGTTCTGGCCCCGCATCGCCGTCGCGGTTGCCCTCCCATGTCTTATCGTGGGAGGCGGGGCCGCCCGTGCTGGCGGGTTTCGCGCGTGCGCCCGCGCGGTTGCAGCCCTCTGGCAGGGCGCCGAAGCGGGGGGGGGGGGGCGAAGCAGAGGGATGCGCGCGAGGAAGAGGGGGCAACTGTAAGGGGGCGGCCGAGGAACTTAGGGAATAGCAGTAAGGCGCAACTGTGGGAAGAAAAGGAACGGGGGCACTCGGGCGAACGGGGGGGGGGGGGGAGAGGGGGGCTAGGGCGATCAGCTGCTTGCTGGGAGGGGGCAATAAGCAGGGATGGATCAGGGGACAGGGCCGAGGAGGATGAGGGAAGCGGAAGATGCTACGGAGGTCGAGAGATGGCTCTGGAGGGCACGAAACTAAGTATTCCTAGTTCTGAGGCTGCCCTTTAGCATTTTAGCGTGACTAGAACAGCTCTTCGCACATTCCCAGGACATTGGACAAAACATTCATTTAAACAAGAAGCTAACACAGAGACTGTTTAAAAACAACTTGCGGGGAAAAACGCGATCATACGATTATTTTTGGAGTAGTTGCAGGGGGTACTTTTACGAGAGAACGGCGCTGCACAGTAGTTGCCAGGCGTACTTTTCGTAGCACTTTTGGATCATGTGAATATTCGTCCCAGAAGCAAGCCTCCAGGGCGGCAGGGGCATCTCAATGTCGATGGGGGCTTTACGGAGAAACCTCGCGCGTGACACTGCGCGACCGGTTCGCGATTCTTGGCGGCAAAAGGCACGTTCGGAAAGTCAGCCGAGCAGGTCGCCGACTTCTTAGTGAACCTACGGGCCCCGCGCGAACAGTTCGTGCACATGTACTCCGACCCGGCTAGAGAGCTAAAGAAAGCCTGCCAGGATCTGAGGATAGCTTGCGATTCCATTCGGCCGGCTAACAGGAAACAGAACTCCGTAGCGGAGCGCGCCAATGGCGTCGTTCAGGGCGGAGCGAGGACCCTGCTCATGACTGCCGGGCTGCCGGCGCTGTTTTGGGCATTCGCCGCCCCTTATTTCTGCACATGCTATGACGCCGCGCACGAAGAGAACGGCAAGACGCCGTGGGAGATGAGATTTGGCGGGCCCTTCAATGCCCCGCTAGTCCCATTCCGATCTGCAGTCCGATATCTGCCACCGCCGGAACCCATGATAAAACAGCCCAAAATTGCCCCGATAACGCGAGTCGGCGTATATCTCGGATATGTACAGCATGCGGGGGGCGTGTTGGCCCTGATCACTACTGCATGGCGTTGGCGCAACTTGAAGGGTTGAACTTCGCTACCGGTACGAAGGCAGATGGCAACATGCCCATCGTGGAGAGAACTGAACAGGTGTGGACCGACACACCTGTGGAGCAAATGGCAGACGAATCTCCAGATGGGGCCATCGACAATGTCGACGAGGATTCCCCCGTGCATTTCCCGCTGAGGCGAGCCTGCGACAAGGCTGCTGCGAACGTTAGCAGTGCCACGCTGGAAACGCTGCTCTCGGGTGGAAATGCCGCGGAAGAACAACAGGAGAAGCCGCATGCGACATCCACGGGGGCGTCGGGCTCCCACGAGGGCCCAGCGATGGTTCCCGACACCCCCGGCGATCTCGGGATGGAAGGGGCTGAGCCTCACGCCGATGGCGGGCGAGCGGGCGGAGCCCAAGGGGGCCGTGATCCGACAGATGATGAAGGGCCGTCGGGTCCGCCGCCCGACCGAGAGCTCCCGCCTGGTGCCAGGCGAAGGAGAGTTGATTTCAATGCGGTAAGGATATGCGAGAATCTCGCCGAGACAGAAATCATTGCCAGGCAGACAAAATGCCTTGCGGCCCCCGCGAGGAGAGGACCGAAGGTTGAACAAGTCATAGCAATAACAACGCGAAGCCTGGACACGGGAGAGTATTACGAGATGAACGCCGTAGTTGTAGAACGCCGCAGTTGTAGGTAAGCCGCCCCCGCTGAAGGGCAAGCAAAAGACGGCGCATCTTCGAGTGGTATTCTATTATGATCCTTACTACAGGAGGCCAAACGAGGCGGACGTGTACGATGATATATACGGAAACGCCGTCCTCCGACGCACACAGAAGGAATCTACTAACCCAGGCGCCCACCCGGACCGATGGTTCAGGACAAGTGGATCGGAACGGAAGAGACTCATTGAAGAATACAAAACGGAAAAGAAGGGCTTCTATGGATTAGAGGATCCGGGTCCGAACGCTGACCTCTTGAGGGCAATGGGCGTCGACGTGCCTCGACCGGCGCCGACCTATGCGATGGCGGCGGCCGCCTTCCAAGAAAAAGGCCAGGTGGATGATGGCGCGATGAAAGACTTCCAGGGCTGGTGCGCAGAAACGCGCGCGCCAGAAGGAGAATCGGAACCGTCCGATGGGCGGGATTCGAGCACCGATGGCGAAAGTGACTGGGATCGCGCGGCGCTTAACTGCGCGGCCGCGGCTCGACGTCGCGGCGCCCCTCGCATGCCCCTTCGCGGGCGAGATGCGGGCCACGATAATCACCGGGACAAAGAGCCGGCGCGCTGGCCATGCTACCACCCATTCACCGACTCTATGCATATAGGTGAAATGGAAGAACTTCTTGCTCTTCCATCGACGCCGGGCAATGCCCAGGCGATGAACTACGCTTGCGTCGCTCGACCTGTCACCGGGGCCGAGGCGGCCAACAGTGAAAAGGCTCGGAAGGCGCTGATGGATGAGTGGGGGCGTCTTAGAAAGATCAAGACGTGGGATGAATCAGAGGTGCAAGAGCTACGCGATGTCAGAGCAAAGGTGAAAGGAAAGACCTTCCACATCGGGGGACTCGCGATCCTAGTGGAAAAGAACGCCGAACTTCCTGAAGGCCACGAAGATCGCGAATTCAAAGGGAGAGTAGTCTTTGACGGATCAGATGTTGTTGATCAAGACAAGAACGTTGCGCTGTTCCAAGAGCTATCCAGCTGTCTGGCTACTATGCAGGCAAGCAAAGCTGCTGACATATACGGCTTGTTTGAAGAACGCGACATACAACAAACAGATGCCCGCCAGGCATGCACTCAGTCTAAGCTGGGAGGCACCCCGACGTGGGCGCGATTGCCCCAGGAAGCATGGCCTGAGAGCTGGGGGGGGGCATGATCGACCCAGTATGCCCTCTGCTATAAGCACTGTATGGGCATCCTGATGCTGGTGGATTCTGGGAACAACACTGCGAGGCGCACGTCATGTCGAAGGGGTTTGCACCAATAACCTGCTGGAGGAGTTGCTACTATCATCCAGAGCTTGAATTGTTCTTAATCGTATACGTTGAGGATTTCAAACTCGCGGGTCCTTCTCGAAACCTGGAGGCAGGATGGAATCTTATGCTGAGCCCATCAGAGACTGCACCGGAAGGGATCGATATGGACCCACCTACGCCAGTGGGAAGATAACCTCGGATGCGAACACAGGATTTCGGATAAATGCATATTGGCAAGGCGTCGCTCCAACCGCGTTGGACCCGCGACCTCCCAATCCCAAGGGCCAAAACGCCGATGGCGTGGCTGAAGCGGGGCGCAAATCAGCTGCGGTCGCCCATGGCGCAACGCAGCAGGGCACAATGATCCCGATCTACTGCGACAGATCATTTTACGCCCCCAAAGGGCACGGCGTGTGGGTGAGGTACGGCGCCAATGCGAACAGAGACCACACGTCGTTACTGGGCGGGCCCACGGGAAGAGAGGTCGTCCGAAGCATTACCTCTGACTTTGTTACGTGGGAGGAGCTCGACGACACTGAATACACCAGCGGGGTGATTGCACCATCCGCAGCCGTCGCTGAGAAGTGCTTCAGGGCACCCCTCCCTGATGGCCCACGCAACATAGCCACAATACTGGTATGCCAAGACCGCGATGCTGAGGCCACAGTCTACACTCCTCAGAGCCCCGCAGAACAGTGCGGGTCACGTGAGCCACGGGGCGCGGCGCCCGCCACACCACAGCTACCTCCGACACCAGAGTACAAGCCAGGATTGCAGAAGAAAGTACGAATATTTGAGTATAATATGGCAGAATTCTTCAAGTCTTGCGCGTCGCTCTACGCTGAGCTCACAGACACCGACCAAAGCACGTATCCACTGTCGGGAACTCCCTTTGGCCCTGAACTCACCTCGTTCGAAGACGGGCAAGGCGGGCCACGCGGAGAACTATTGGCACCTGCCGACGAGGCTCTAGCAACATGTTTGGGAATCGACGCTGCTATGGGGCCTCCCGATGCAGTAATACACGTGGGAGGACCTCCAATGGAGGACTCACCAGCTCCTGATCCCAAGCCACCTGCCCCGTCAGGCATACTGCAACATGTTGCAGCCAAGGTGCTGATGAAGATGCTCTATGGGGCACGGATGGCGCGTCCGGATCTGCTGAACGCAGTCTGCAAGACAGCTGATTGTGCCACTAAGTGGACCGAACAACAGACTACATATCTGTTGCGCATAATCTGCAATCTAAGAGCAACGGTGGACTACCGCCTAGCGTCCTGGGTTGGAGACCGCCG